TTCCGTGCTTTGCTGATTAAATATATTTCGAAGACATCTAAAGATAAATATCTGCCTAAATCAGGATTTTTCTTGTGATACCCAAAAAGGAAATAGTAGCTAAGTGTGTGTGTGTGTGTGTGTGTGTGTACATTTAGGTACAAGCATCTAAATATTACGTATACGCCATGTAATAAATTAGACAAGGAGACTGAAGGATGTTGATGTGGACAACATCATTGGCCGTATAACATTTAACCAACCACTAACGATTTGTCTGTCTAGATATTATTTATTAGTTATGCAAATTTCTCATCCCAGCAGGAGGTTTTTTCATTACACATTACACACAAATGTTGTCACATTTTTCGTATGCTTCAAATGCCTTGGATTCTCGCATTATTATTATACATATTGTAGAATTTTTCCTCACCGTGCATATGTACATACACATATATATGTATATGTATGTAAGTATTTACTCATATAACATATTTATGTACATTAGATCGTACCTTGAGTCTTAAAGTATTTTTGCGCGGCAATTTCGAAAAAAAAAACAAAATTTTATCCGATCTTGCTAAGGAAATGTTTTGATTATTTCGGTAGAATTATTTAAAAGAAAATTGATTGCCGAATGTAGGTGCTTTTTTCGAAATTTTCTCGCAAAAATACTTTAGACTCAGTGGTGTACGGCGAATTTTTTTTGTTTGCTTGTAAGGTGGTATGGTCTAATGTACATATGTATGCACATATGGTTGGCTTTGCCTATAACTTGTTTATCTTGTTGTTTTCATTTATTTTTTTTTATTTTTTTTTGCTCGGTTTAATTTTACTGAGAGAACTGTGCGAAAAATATACATAATTTTTTCCACTATCTAAAAGAGAGAACTTTTCGGCACACATTTGCAACGTAGATACATACGTATGTATGTACATACATACACACATATGTGCATACTTATACGTCATACCTAGTAACAAAATTGAAAAGAATACAATAGCCGAACAATTCAAATGGTCGAGTGCAATGATCAAACGAAACAAGTGAAAATGTCAATAGAGAGCGCGCAAAGATTTATAGAATTCGCCAAGTTTGTATTTTTATATTAGGTTTGTTCCACACGAGCCCGCGGGATCGCGCGTGTGCCCAAAACAGCCCAGAAAGCGTTCCTCACGCTAGAAAAATGAGTAATAGAGAGCGAATACGTTCCACTTTTGGATCGTAAGTATCTTCTTCTTCGTGCCCGAAACAGCCTGGACTTTTTTCCGGGCAGAAATGTTGAAGAAGTCAATTTGAAATAACAGCTGTTGTTTGTTTACATCCGAAAGCAAATTTTGTAAAATACAAAAATGGAAAATAGTACTAAAGGTTCAGAAATGTATGTATGTATGTGCTTATTTTATTATCAACATATATAAGATAAATACACATAAAATAATTGTTTAGAGCTGATTTGTTCATTCCGAGCACGAAAAGTGGTTTTTTGCTCTGAGCACTTTTGGCACGGGTTGACACATTTTCGACACTTGTGAGCGAGTAACTTATTTTTGCGCTCTAATTACCGAAACAGCCCGGAAAGCGTGTGGAACAAACCTTTTATATCCACTTACAAACTAAATTCTTCACATATATATTAGTTATAAATTTGTATGTGTACATATTTTCCTATAGTATTTGTATATATGTTTGCACATTTATATGAAATGAAATGAAGTGAACCGGTTTCTTGTTTTCTTAAAGTCGTTCTAATTTTGGTGTTTATTATTAAAACTGAAACCTGTAACAATTATTGCTTATAACGAATCGGCAACACAGCTTTAAATAACGAAACATTTTTTTTAAATACAGCAAAGTGCTTCTTTGTACTAAATATGTGTGTATAATACAAATTTAAGGCAAGCATAGGTACAACCATACATACATACATATGTACATTCATTTTAATGCAGTTTGTAATATTGTCCAAAGCAGAATAAAGTTAACGAAGTACTTAAAATGCGATTAAGAAAAAAAAAAGCAGCTCAGAGCCAAAGGGATAAGTAAGTGTTAAACAAAGAGTTGAATTAATGAAACAAATAGCACATGAAACATGAACGCAGCCTGTTTGAATTAAAATGAAACCCGTATGCATATGTGCATACATTTAAGCACATACGGATGTATACAGGCACCTCTGTACATAAGGGTGCTCCTTTCTCGGGCTAATCTTGTAGAGAGATTTTTCGTTGTTGATTAGGTATGACTTGTCTTAGAGGTTAGATTGCCAGTATTTATGTATGTATGTACATTAAATAGACTGGTTAAAAAAAAAAACTGAAAAATTTTCAACAACCCTGATTAGTAGAGATATCAATATTAGTAGAAGCCAGTGCCACACTCATTTCTAAAGTAAAAAAAAAAAACACACAAATTAGTTTGTTGCTAAAACGGTACTTCTTTGTCAATTTTGAGCAAAATAGCCGCAGAAGCTACTGAAATATGTATATATGTATATTAGTTGAGTCGTTTATTTTGAAAGTGGCACAAGTCATTTCCACCTTTTGTGCTTAAATGTTTGGTTACTTCTAACTGAATGCATCTGTAAATAGTTCTACTGTCATAAACTGATGACAAAAATGCTGACCTTTGGCTGATGAGGTTGATCGAATATCAGACGCCTTCAGATATAAGTAATTGATCACAAAAGTGGCATTCACAAAAGTGAACAAGTTGAAAAAATAATAATAATAATAAAATTCACATTATCCAGCGTGCACTGTACTTTCATCATTACTTTAAAATATACAGTTATTAGGGCAATTCACCAAAACGCGTAAATGACTCGTAATCACATAAACCTCGTAAACTTACTTAATTTTGTATGGAAAATCGGTTTATTTATGAGGTTTACGCGGTTACGAGGCATTTACGCGTTTCCATAAATAACCCATGTTATATTTATTTCATTTATTTATTTATTTAAGTCTATGGTTTCACAATACCTTACAGACTAAATAGCAATTCACTGTATTAGGCGTAATGCGATTAGCAAAAGTATTTACATTCTTAACTCTAATTGGTAAATTAAATTCATTTAACGACCTTGTGATTGGCTTAGCTCAGAGTTTAATTGGTTTTGCACAGTTCTACATATACTAGGTCGTGGTGACGAAGGGAGGTACTTGGAGTATCGGGTTTTATGAGTGGTAATATTGATGGACAGTCAATAACACCATTCAGCACGTCGTGAAGAAACATCAATCCTGAAACTTTTATTCTGCTATTAAGACTGTGTAAATCGCTCAGTTTACGGCGCGAAGCATATGATGGAATCGGTTACTCAAATTTTATGTGACACAAAGCAAATTTAATTTTTTTTTTTTTAAACGCATATTCCAATTTCGATCTTACAAAAGAGTTACACAGGATTTTTTATTTATTTTTTTTTAATAAGGATCCCTGAATTCATTGCAATTTCGCTTTATAAAAGCTAGTGAAGAATATGCTTTGGGGATTATGTAATTCAGATGGTCAACGAACGTGAAAGAGGAGTCAAAAAGAACTCCAAGGTCCTTAATTTTATTAGAAGTGCTGTTGACAAAATTTGAAATACATATATACTATGTAAATATAAAATAGTAGCTTGAATTTTACAATAAATAACAGAATAGCACTTATCAATATTAATTTCTGACTTATTATGGCAACACCAGTTATACAAAGCACTTAACTTGTTTTGAAGAATCCCAATATCAAGGGAAATATTTGTCATATACAACATTTTTAAATCATCTGCATAGAGGGGATGCCTACATTGCTTAAAGCAGTTCCTTACGGAACTCCTGAGCTTGCAGTCAGCAGAAGCTGCATATTTTTACAACTATGTGTACAACTGGGAAATGTAATTTCGAATGAAATATTTAACATTGAATAAGAAAAAGGCCAAAGTATTGCAATTCTTCACTCACCGCCAGATTAATCTGCATGGCATCGACATCGGACAAAAAATGGGAAGCGGTCGGACTCGAATTTTTCCTCGAGTATTCGCGAGCACAGGGAAACGACTGGCGTGCTTTATTGAAGTCGACCAAAATTGATTTGGCGATTACTGGGACAAAGAAGAAGAAGAATCGTGTGCACAGTCGAACGAACGGACAGACACAATTTAAGAAAATAGCCGTCATTTTATGAAATACTCAAAACTTCGAGCTACTTGCCAGAGAAATGAGAGATCGATAACCCATTAGGCATCTAGCACACATTTATTTTAAATGACTTGATTCAGAAGGTATGTATGTATATCTGAGAAATGTCAAAGACGGATTAATTTTGTCTTATGCATGAAGAGTAAGATTAAGCTTAAAATAACTTCATTAGTACAGAGCCAGAAATCGACTTCAGCGCTTAGATACCGGGTTCAACTATCATGGTGGCTCATAAGTACAAAACATTATCCAAGTACTTGGTCTAGTAGTAGTTTAGTAGTAGAAGCAGATCTACCCGAGTTTGTGTATTTACAAATATATACATATGTGTATGTATTTACCCAGATGAAAAATGCGAATGCATTACCTTTTTCTGCCAAGAAAAGATTAACAGCTACGGTTGAATGAAGAGATGCATAGCAATGTGAGCAAGCGGAAGATGTGTAGTTTTGAAGCTACAAACAAAACAAAAAGTTTGAGAACTAACTCAACCCAACAAACACCAAAAAAAAAAATATTTCTCCAACCTTGGAGAAATTCATAGTTCTCAAGTTGATATCCAACATCATTCTCCAACTCATCTCTAACCGACGCGCAGATACGTAAAAAGTGATAGAGAAACGAAGTTTTAATTATCAAGTGAAAAACTAAAGCTATATAAAGAGAAAAATTACCAACAAAAAGTAAATAATCTAAAAGCATCTTCAAATAATCTTAAAAAAAAAGTAAAACGCGAAGTGAATTCAGTGGCAGAATTACTGTCGGACTGTATACTGTGAAGTGAATTATGGTAATACGATATTGATTTACTACATAATACAAAAGGAGTAATAAAATTAAAAAAAGAATATTTAAATTCATCTATGTATATATGTCATTTTAATCAAAAAGGTATAACTAATTTTACTAGTTCAATGATATGTTTGAGACCAATTGGAGAATTACATTGGAGTTCAAGTTGAGAACTAGCATTTTCTCAACTTGAGAAATATCTTAGTTCTCAGCTTAACCTCAAGTTGAGCGCAAACATAAATGTTTGTTGGGAAGTATGTATTTTTCTTACGTTATCTCAACAGCTGTATGTAGCCGAATGGATGCGTGTTCGTTTGGTCACGATTTCAAACCCTATGGCACAGACGTTTTTTTTTTTTATTTTTTTATTCTATAAATTTTTTATTTATTTATATGTAGCTTTTGAAATGACGTGCGACACATTACTTTCGTATGACAACGCTGTAGATAAATTCTTGCATCTTTTTGTGCATATACTATAGGATCTATCCATTATTTTTAGCATTTCCAAACATTACTTTTCTAACACTGAGTACTTTCAATAAATTGTTTGTGTGAGCAACTGCGTTCCTAAGTATTTGTATAAGTACTTAACTGTGCATGTACATTTGTTATGCACGACTGTCATCAAATCGTAATGCTGTTTTGTCTGTTTCTTTATGGAATTTCCCAATGTTTTTACGTTTGTATGCATCTGTACTAAAAGCATCTTACCTCCAAATGAGGTAAAAAAATTTTTTTTATTTTTTCTTGAATTTAGAACATTCGTAAACAAATTTATCATTAATAAATAAAAAGACAACGCGAAAAAGTTCGCGATACCCATCTTAACTTAAATGTATGGAAATACTTGTAGAAGATAATTAGCCATAAATGCATTTTATTCAAATAATTTTAATTTGCTAGATAGACACACATAGTGCAAGATTCACAGTTTAGCTATATTTTTGAAGTAATAACATTTCGTGTCACTCACAAACAAGATTCCAGCATGAAGGCAATGACCTTTTGTAAATAGCTGTCAATTGGTAACTAGCACGATTCGCGATGGTATTGAGGGAGTTTAATATCGTACTCGTTTAAATCCGTATCCCGTTTCATATACTACACGTATGTACATTAGACTGCATCACCCCCCATACGGAAAAAAAAATCGGTACCGTTTTTCCATTTGAATTATAAAATCTATTATATTTTAAGACGTCCACCAAAATATTGGGGAATAATATTAAGATTTACATGAGCTGGACCGATTTGAAAATACCTCCAAAAATGAAGTTTTTTATGAATACAAATATTTTCTTAAAGATATTCTTTGAAAAAATCCCCTCAAATTGCAAAACGGTTTAAGCTTAAAAAATTTACATAAAAATATTTTTAAAAAATTAAAAAGAAAATTAAACGGAATCGTAATAGTGAGATTTTTGATGTTGTTTTTTTAACTTTTTTCAAAGATTGGCATAAGAAAAACTCGAATAACTGAACCTAAACTCTTCCGATTTAGACTTGTGAGGTATCATTGGAAAGGTATTTTCTCACCCTTTTTATTTCTTTGCTAAGAAACGCATTCAAAGGATGAAAGAGAAAGGTAGGGTGAGCGAACATCATTCAAAGCTGAATTAAGATGTGCTGGTATTTGAAAAAAAAAAATTGGGACTTTTTTGCACATAAATAATAGTGGGAAAATACCTTTCTACCGAGATCCCATAAGTCTAAATCAGAATAGTTTTGGCCCATTTATTTACGTTTTTCGTAAATCAATCCTTGAAAAAAGTAAAAAAAAAAACAGCATTAAAAATCTCATTATTACATTGAAAAGATTTTTAAATATTTTTATGCAAATTTTTTTTTTGTGATCTGAGGGGACTTTTTTCAAAAAGTTCTTTAAGAAACTATTTTTATTCATAAAAAGCTTTATTCTTGAAGGTATTTTCAAATCGGCCCAGCTCGCTTAAATCTTAATACTTCTTCGAAATATTTTGGTGGACGTCTTAAAATATAATAAATTTTGTAGTCCCGGCGGAAAAACCGCAACTTTTTTTGGTGATGCAGTCTAATGCACATATATGTACATATGTATATATGTCCGATTTGTTTAGAATGTTGCCAATCCTTGACCAGCTGCAGCTCAGATTACTTTATTTGACTTATATGGTGTTTACATGAGGCGATTTTAGAGGCAACTTGAGTTGTTGCTTTCAACTAAAAGTTGCCTCTAAAATCGCTAGGGTGAACAGCCTTTCAACTAATCACTTCCAATTAAAATTGCCTGTAAAATCGACTCATTTAAACAGCGCATTAGTGATAAAATCAGGAGAGTGACGGTTACTTCTGATTCGTATAACAAAATACACTGTATGTATATACATATATAAGTATGTATAATAAATCGTCCCACCACTTTTACCATTCACTAGAAAAAGCAAAACTCCTACTGATAAAAAATAGCAATTATACATAGTGAAGTAAACAAAAACATACATATGTACATCTGTGAGCTTAAGTGTTGCTTTTACTTGCATATAGTACTACTTGCTGGAAGAATGGTATTCTCTTAGCGTCACACAACTGTTTTAGTATCTGACAATCAGTTAATACGCTACTAAAAATAATCGAAAACAAAGAAAATACGAGACGAAGCTCATCTTTTTTATAAATTTTTTATTATTATGTAGGAGCAAGATAAGCTGTGCAAATTACACTGGCGGCAGAAATAATAGACTCGTCGTACTTTTAAGAATTTTGGCTATATTTCTTTAGTTTATTTTGCGTTTAATATTTTTTTCTTATAAAAGTCTAGGTAGTTAAACAACAAATATCAGATAAATCCGCTTTTCAAACTTCGAACAAAAAATTATATAAATTCCACAAATCCTCACCAGATTTTCCAGATTTTTGTTGAGAATTTTTAGAAAAATGTTTGGTTGCAGTTTTGTAGCCCTTATATCTCAGAAAACTTTTCAAGAACGCCCTACTTCGGAATTTTATTGAAAAACACGCTATCTCAGAATTTGGTTGAAGAACGCCCTATCTCATAATTCGGCGGAGATAGGGCATTTTTCAATCAAATTATGAAATTGGGCATTCTTCAATCAAATTCTGAAGAAGGTCGTTCTTGAAAACTTTTCTTAGATAGGACATTTTCGAACTGGCTGCCGAGTTAGGTCGATCTTCAACTCAGCTATCGATTTTCACCTTATTAAATATATCGTATCGAAGAAATATCAAGTTTTATAAGCATTTTTGTTAATTTGCCTTTGTATTTGCATATAATTTAGCAAATCGCATGACAAGAGATACTTCTTTTTGTACGCATTCGGCGCCAGACTCAAACGCTTTGCTTCTTATCTATCTACATACATTAACAGAACAGACGAAGCGTAGCGCGTATCTTGTGTGCAAAAATATTGTGGTGCGAGTCGATGTTGGGTTCTCGAAGTGTACATATGTATGTACATCTAAAATACTGGTACCGTGCCTTCCATCTATCACAACATGACCGATTTGGTTCCTCGTTTGTTGATTCTGAGGCGGCCATATAGCTGAATGGATCTTCCTATGCCGGAACGTAGTGCTACATGCTGCGATGTTCCCGGTCCCGCTGAAGTCAGTCCGTTGTCGGATCCCTTCGTTGCCCCCCTGGATTAGAAACAAGTATTTGGTCGCCTCGTGCCTCTCTTTCGTCAGGGCATCGGCGCAAATGAACGGAATGTTGAAGAATATCGCTTTGATGAGGATTGTGGCCATAAACTCGTTCAGCGGGGTGAACTTTCGTACTCGGAGACGGAGTCTCTCTCCCACCACAAATCCGACACCGAACTTGCGCACCTACACATGGCAGCTGTGATAGACGTCGTAAGGCCCATTGTTTTGTCTACCTTGCCCTTCTAGCGGATTTATTGAATGACGCCGATGTCAGCCTGAGTCTTTTCCGAAGACATCAACGACCCTAACAAAATTTTGTAAGTTGCGCGTACTCGTTCGTTCTCAAAAGAATAAGTCTCAACCGAGGCAAGTTTGAACTATTCTTTGGCGTTTTTTTACCGTGGCGGAACCCAAGCCCAACGCACAACCTATTATTGGCGGTTTGCCTTCTCACATTAGCTCGCTTCCAAATGCGTGTTCGGTTGCTACACAGAGGATATTTAGTGTTAACACCTAAAGTCGTGAGCTGCTTGAACCGGATGCAAAGATTCGGTTTTGGTCACTCGCTGGTGAATTTGGTGACATCCAGAACCCGGAAATATCCCCCAGAAAATGTATTGGGTTATGTGAAAAGTCATTGCGTATTTCCTTATGTAGTTTTCAAAGAAATTTATTTACATATATAAATATAAAGGATAATTCAATGATATATTATCCGCTATGCTCGATGATATTTTGCCAGCTTTCGCTGAGCTTCATAGTTCCGCGTTCGTAGTAGTAGGACCTGTCTTTATCGGCGAAAAACTAAACCTTCTTAAATGAATGTAACTTTACTCTGTGTAAGGATTATTGACAACAAAAGCCACATGGAAGAAAAGTTCTGAACTAAAATGATGAATCCGCATTAAAATAAAAAATTATTTATTGAGTAATTTTAAAATTTTTTTCCACGGAATTAAAAGACATAACGACACTTTTTTTTTAGGGATTTGTAAATAGGTCTAACTTAAATTATAATAAGTTTTATAATTCCGGTGGAAAACCCGCAACTATTTGTGGCGAATCACCCTAATGTACATATGAATATAAATTACTACCGACCATAATCATTAATGCAATTTTTTTTTCGTTATTTCCACAGGTTATTGGTTCGAGAGGAACAGTATGTTGCATCCGTTTAATGTGGATTGAAAACATATGAATGAATACCTATACCGTATACGGCTCTAGTGTTGTCCTTCATAATGAGCACTTCTGAGACACGCAGTGAAACTGCTACTTCGGAAGAAGAGGATTTTAAGTTAAACATTCCGTATAATCTTGAAGATGTGGCACTTACGTCACCAAACAGCTTTAAATCGCAGAACCACCCCGCTTTTGAAACTATAGATAAAGAGGAAGATAATCCCAGCAATAGCTTCCAGTGTCGGATCTGGGAAAATGACGATGGTTTCATGGATGATAATATATCCGCCTTAGATGCAGCTGAATTTTCCGCAAGTACCTTGACTGATTCAAATTTACCAACATCGATTATGTGCACTGCATCGGATGTGATAGATGAGAAAGCATGTCAACCCAATAGGCCAGCACCTCTTACGAACACATTTCAATCTGAATTGAGGAACACAGACTTTTTCCAATTAACCGATTCACTGAGTGATGCTGATGTAGCATCCACAATTACCATTGAAGCTCTTACGAATTCCAATCGAATGCCAGCTTCGCATGCGTACAACAACAACAACAACATTGAGCAAGATATAAAATATTCACCCAGCGAAATGATGTTTGAATCACCGTCCACGTTACAATGCAATTACAATTCACCGCTCCCTCCACCACATGTACGTCCATCCATGCATCCGCCTGCTTCCTATGGACAGCCCTTGACGCCGACGCATTATGGAATGAGCAATAACAACTTTGCCCGGCCCCATCCACATCCACAAGCACAACAATCACTATATAGTGAATACCCGCATCCATCCGGTTACCATCCAAATATGTGGTACCCAAATGCACCATACGGCTCAGCGAGTAGCTGCTATCGAACTTACGGTGGTGGCCATCGGTACCCTAATTACGGCAGCTATTCTCACGACCCAATGCTGGATATGCTGCAGCTTTCCAACAGGTGAGTGCTATCACCTTCACTAAAAATTTTGTAAGTGTTAGTACCAAAAACAACTTTTTAAAAAGCTCTATCTGTTCTTGATTTTATTTTTAAATTATTTTTTACTTCTCTTATAAAATGGAAAATTTGTTGCTGAATAAAGATAGCGATATCTGTGTACATATGTACACTAGATCGGAGAACCTTACAAGCAGGCAAAAATAGTTCGCCATACACTCTGGCGAAATATGTTTTCACATAGAACATCCGTTTTTGTAATGTTTTTGGCCACCAGAAAACGTTGCATAATATCAAGCATTTTCCTTAAGCAGTGGACGAATGATAAAACCTATTTTGCATACGCACAAAAATCGTATACCATATACATATGTACATAGATATTCCATAGGGTCTCCCTTTGAAAATTCCGAATACTTCGCATACTTTTCAATATTTTGAGGGATTCGTGGTCGCTGTCGCATTTGTATCACGTGCTGGCGCTATACTTTGTATGTGAATGCGTTAAGTAAGGAATGGAATAATTCCGCGGATATACTTGCACGAGCTTCAACGCCGACAACCTACGCATTTAGCATCTTAACTCAGCAGGACGCTAATGAACCGCATCACATATGTATCTATGTATGTATATGCATATACCAGAGAACGGCACGAGTACACCGCAACATCGCATTGATACTCTTTTCATACTCGAGTATCATAATAATAATAACAATAATAATAATAATGGGACATAAGGGCATAAAGCGCTGTAACCTATAACCCTGAAATGGTCACTCCTACCTTAGGCTATTGATGATTCTGGATGGAGATGATAATATTTCTCCTAGGTTTCCTCTTCCAACTCACAGAATCTGCAGTTCGTCTCCTCAGAGAGTCCCATTTTGTGTAGATGGTACTTCAGCCAGCCAGCAGGGTCCTATCAGGTACCCAGTGAGAGTTCTTAAGCCCTCTCTGTTAAGATTTACCAGTCACTCAGAGATTCCACGAGAGGGAGTTATGAATCTTTTGGATTGCCTTTTGCCCTTTGTCGTGCGCCATTCACTTGCAATTTGCGAGTGCTCCCATCTCCTTAGAAACTCTGCCGTGTATTCTGTGGACCGACCATAGCAAGGCAAAGGGCTGATCAGGCACTATGGTTACCACAGGGTAACTCTGTTTTTGGTTCCTAGTTTTTCCAGCACCATCTTGCAAATGTCTACTAGTTTGTAACCCTTTTACAAGAGTCAAGAGCTCTTAACGCTGCCATAAGTGAAAATCGATTCTATCACCGTATTGAATAAGGTTTGGGGATAACCCATTCATTTACCATGGAGGCTTTGGCAAGCATAAAATGATCTCGTGGCTTTATTGTTAACCGTTGTGAGATGTCAGTTCCAGTTAAGTCTCTTGTCTGACATCAACCTAGATATTTCGCATCTTGTGCAAATTCAATCACTGTCTCAACCAATTTGGGTTTGAGTAAGTTGACCTTTCTTCTTTTGGAAAAACAGAAGTTGATGGATTTTATTGGCTAATTGACAGTTACGCTTAGGGAAAACTGCACACTGGAGCATAAAGTGTCCTCATTCCAGCCAGTGAGTATCATAAACTCCGCATCAGATATTTTCCGATGTTTACTGTATTCAGTTTATACTTACTTGGTGCTAAATACTTGTGATCACAGTGAAACTCTGCTCTTTTTGCTGTTAGCATATTTCCACCGCTTAAAAGCAGTGAGCGTAAAAATGGTACTAGAAAATATCCCACTCCAGTCTTTGTGTTCATACGCAAACGTTTTTAGAGTGAATGTTTTTAGAGTCAGAAAAATAGGCACTCGTGCTGTTCTCTGGTATATACATATGTATTTTCTGTGCAAAAATATAAGGGACCCCTATGGTTTTCAACGAACACTGGCACGAGTAATGTCGAATCAATTACTCTCTACTCGCAATGATAATTACACATAGTTATGTAGTTCTTTTTATAGAACCCATTCAGGAAAGTATATCCAAGGAGATGCGTTTGTTTACAGCACGACTCACTTTGTCTAGTTATTGTGGGGCAAGAACCAAGCAGCATTATGTGTAGTAATGAGCTTATTATTTAATTTCAAAGTTGCAAGTCACATTAAATGGCTACTTAAAGATCAGCAGATGAGCGCATGCGTCAATTGCAAAAAAAAAACATGCAAGGTTATGTTTAAGTTTGGCACCACCTTCATAATAATAATAAAAATAGATTGGCGCTTACACATAAATATGTTAGTGTTTGGCCGAGCTTCTCCTCCGATTTGTGCCATGCGCCATGATGTTGTCACACGAAGTGTGTTAAGAAAAAACCTTTTTGGTTAAATTTTTTGCGATGTTGCTTTGACCAGGGCCTGAACCCAGACGCTGCGGAGTCCTTCATACCCCCCCTTTTGTTCAACAGAAGGCCTCATACTCAGCAATCGAATAGACTCGGAACTGGTGACTAGGAGGGCCATTTATTCGACCAACCCTATACAGTTTTTCTTTTTTTGGTCTTTTATATACAAAGTCTAATGGGCTGATTATGGCAACTTAACGTAACTTACAGGCTCTCACTAAGACATTCTCATAAATGGATATTTCTTATAATTGAATGGCCGAAACTTAACGTAACGTAATGCCACGTCGAATCTGTTTCATTTTGATTTTCTAAGTTCTATGTTCCGTTAAGTTAAGTTGCCAAAATCAGGCTTTAAGAAAAAAAACACCTACAAAAGACTTGTGTGTCGCATGTACTTACATACATATCTCCCAAAGTTTACACTGCTGGCAAATGCAAAAAGGGATTAAAATTTTAAAACTAATTAAAAAGAAAATAAAAAATCATTTTTTCGCAAAACCTATAAAGGACCCTTTCATTAAAAAAAAAAACAACCTGTGCGACAGTTATTCGGAGCCACGCTGTATATTCCATTAAACCTCAAATACTTGTATGTAATATTATTATAAACAATGCTTTGCCTATATATTATCCCTCAGAATATTAATGTAAGGTTGCCGCATATTTTCGACTCTACAAAATTTAACTAAAACTACGCAATATGGATATCAAATGAAAAGTATTCCTGAGCACTTCAGTCCGAAAATATTTTCGACGAGTCTTGCCAGAGTTTTTTTTAATACAAAGTTGTATTTTGTTAATTTGAATGAGCTTTTTGTGAACGTACGCTCAAGATACATATGTACTCTTCATCCCAGCGTATCTCCAGCGTAGGTTGACTCATAATTTTTAAAGTAAAAAATTTACTTATTTTATAAAATCCAAATTATTTTTTAATTTTTTTGCAAAATATTAATTTTACAGCTATCCAGATAACCCGTATTTGATACCCAAACCTTGAAAGCTTTGCAAAGTATATGCGCTTCGATCAAAGCTCGGCCAAACTGGTATTTTATTCACTCATGTAGTACAAGGTAAGACTATGTATAGTCTTTTGGAGGTATACTTCAAATTAGATACATTTTCACAAAGATTAACTTAAATCTATGTAAACAAGACATTAAATTTAATATGAAAGATTGTATGAAATTAAATGCGAACGAATAAATATAACAAGGAAGATGAAAGTGTAAAGCCTTGATATCCTATAATCAGACAGTTTTAAAATATTTGTACATTTGGGACATGCAGTTCAATATGTCTAGTCCAGCCTTTAGAGACTCAGGAATTGAATTCTAGAATCCTGAAAAACTAGAAATTCAGATTTACATACTATACTACTACAAGATCTGCGGTCCTATTCCGACGAAATGGCAAAATTTGCCGAAATTACAATTCTCATAGCTAATTTTTGCGGGATACTACTTTAGGCAATGCGGTTATGACAGAGCAATTTTAACAAGATTTGTCAACACATTGGGAATAAAGGGGCTAGTAAATATAGCACGAATTCTGAACTTTACGTTTATTCACCCTGTTCTATATTTGTATTCATCTGATTAATATAATAATGATTATGTATGTATTTGTATGTACATTAGGCATAACAAAAGTTGTGTCAAGAACTTTAGCTCACATAAATCGGTTAATTACCAAAGAGAACAAGTCACCTTTTTTTCGATATAAAATTTTTGATGCAGTTCGGTTCGTTTAAAGGAGCTCTGTTGAACTGCATCACATTTGCAGTTTTTAGCCAAATTTTGTCAAAAATATTAGTTTTGTTGGATTTTCATCATTCCTCATCTCTACTCATAGGATATACATATGTATAGTTAAAAAGTCATATGCCTACAATGCACATACATAAGTATGTATGTATGGAGTTAAGTGAAAAACATAGCGAGATGAATTTTCTATCAAAGTGAATCTCAAATGGTTAACATTTTTTTTTTTCAAACAAACCATATTTGATGATTCTTGATTTACTTGCTTTAATTTACTTAATTAATTCGCATCGTTTTTGTTAATTTTGCAGTGGTCGCGAAGCAAGAAACCGAGCAGAGAAAAACAGACGTGATAAGCTGAATGGATCTATTCAAGAGTTATCTACAATGGTGCCACATGTAGCAGAATCTCCCAGGCGCGTGGATAAAACAGCGGTATTACGGTTTGCCGCCCATGGTTTGCGATTGCAGTACAGTAAGCTTTGCATAAATGTTTTATACAACAAACTACAATATAAGGCACTTTTAAGTATTTAACTAAAACTCATATTTTTGTTTACAATTTACAGTATTTGGAGAAAGCCTAAATCAGAATCGCCCGCAATACACGGAATCATTAATGAAAATGCTGGATAGGTTTTTCCTAGCAATAACATGCCATGGCCAAATCGTTCTAATCTCATCAAGCGTTGAACAACATTTGGGGCATTGTCAGGTAAAAAGAAATTTTTAATATCTGTATCATGAAACTAAAAAAGAAAACTCTGATTGTATCTTTCTAAACTACCCCAATCTGTCCCTGTGCAAATTCGAATGAATGCACTGTTATTGATGTAAAAGAAAGCTTTGGTGTACATACATACATACATATATGTAACATATCCCTGCAAAAAACTGTGCGACTACCCTGCAAAAAATGGGACTAATCCGGGATGACTCCGGGAGCTATCGCAAATGAGCATGCGACTAATACCACTTTTGATCTCTTTATATGGAATGAACTGTTCGCTTTTGTTCGAGCATGTCCTATGAAGAGACTAATTGTTCACATTTATACCCGAACGGGTATAAAAAGCGACTAGTCACTTTTAAAAAATAAAAATAAAAATTTGCGCCAGTTGAAATTCGAACCGGGGTGCTCAGTTTTGTTAGGCGAATATCCTCTCTGCGTGCCAACGCCGCACATGAAATTGCATTGACTAAGTGCGTACATATCATTAAATCCTTAATAGTACCCGTTAGAGATGAGTTGGGGACTAATTGATCTCCAATTATACCCATAAGAGATGAGTCGAGAGTAATTGATCTTCATTAGTACCCGTTTGAGACTAGTTGCGACTAATTAATGCCCTATTGTCCCCGATTGAGAGTAATCTCGAAATACTCTCTTTAGAGATTAGTCGCACAATTTTTTGCAGGGTAATTTCTAAAGAGAGTATTCCGAGATTACTCTCAATCGGGTACAATTGGGCATTAATTAGTCCCAACTGGTATCATACGGGTACTAATGGAGATCAATTAGTCCCCAACTCATCTCTAACGGGTACTATTAACGATTTAATGATATGTACGCTCTTAGTCAATGAAATTTCATGTGGGGCGTTGGCATACAGAGAGAGTATTCGCCTAACAAAACTGAGCACCCCGGTTCGAATCTCAGCTGGCGAAAATTTTTTTTAATTTTTAAAAGTGACTAGTCGCTTTTTATGCCCTTTCGGGTATAAATGTAAACAATTAGTCTCTTCATAGGACATGCCCGAACAAAATCGATCAGTTCATTCCATATAAAGAGATCAAAAGTGGTATTAGTCGCATGCTCCTTTGCGATTGCTCCCGGAGTCATCCCGGATTAGTCCCATTTTTTGCAGGGATCGTTTACCTTAATGTAGAAAGGTCCTATCTAACATTTTTGTTTCTTTAAAGAGTAGTTATTAAACTTTACAAAAACTACAGATCTTCTGTTGAGACTTTTTTTCATTACACTGGTTTTTAATAAATACAGAAACTAATTTTTTGATGTAGTAGTTGATTTTAAATTCGATTAAGTCATTTGTGAGGAATCTACCAGAGCTTAACTTCAAAATAAAATGAGTTAGGGCCTTTCTATATTAAGGGAACGATATGTAGCTACGATACTCGTATGAGATTTAATAGATAGCATTTTTTCCAACAGATTTTATAGAGTCGTCATCAATTTAAAGGAAAGCTGAATAGACAAATTTTTAAATTTATGGGAGAAACAAGAAACTCTGTTATTTTAAAACAACAACAACTAAATACATACTTATACAAATCCATCTTCTGTCCAACTTCTTCTTATGTGGCTCTTGGTCCGTCGCTACCCGTCGTCCATGTAAACGTGGCCATAGATATTGCATAGAATAGTTCCATATAAAATTATGGGTATTTTGATAGATTTTTAGAGCTTGCTTTTTGTTCGTCGAAAGGGAGCTCTACTTTTCAAAAGCCTACCCAGTTTGTGGTAACCTATTGCAGGAGTTCGCTTGACCTCCAGGCTGACGTTAAAGGTGGTATTGATGCTGGATCCCGGATAGACAAACCCCTTCACAATTTCAAAATATAACTGCCAAACAGTTTGCTTTCAGGAGGTCATACGTTATCTTATTTTGGTCTCGAATGGCGCGGAGAGTTCCTTCTCAACCTGAACGTAGCTAAGAGCTGCATTCAATGTCACTCTACATCGCCGTATTAGATTTCGGGGATTTGAGCTGATATTGTTCAACTACTTTTTGTTGCGATTTGTGACAATACGCTCACTGATCGGGGACAAGATGTCGGAGTTTCCGGCCAACAACAAATAACATACCAAATCTGATCATCACGTCTCCTTTACTGCGGCCGACCATTACAGTCCTTGTTTATATTTTTAATATTTTGGCGATTACACTTTTTCTAGGCGTTTGGCTGAGCCAATTGTGAGGTTCGTCTTGATGTTGTTACACATATGAAGGGATCTGCAGTTTTGCATCGCTTTCGAAAGGCAAATACATTTTATGTGAAGCTTTTTTATGGCCGGTTTCATGGCCAATACCTGCCGAGGAGCGAACCCAGGTCCTACGGTGTGATAGTACGCACCGCTAACCAATCAGTCTTAGCGGCCGCCACACACAACTCCGTCACTGGAAATTCTTTAAAAAGGCAATAGAGGTCAGGAAATTCACAAAAAGTTAATTTGTAGCAAAGATTAGAGCTGAAGCCTTTGCCGGACTAAATTGTTTTCGAAAACCATGACTTCTTCAAAATGAAAAAAAAAGAAAATGTATACGCTTGGTTCTTGAAGAAAAAAATCTGTCTATTCTCGTCGAGCGGGTGTTCATATTTCTGAATATCTTATGATAACTACACACGAGGCAACGGTTGACGCAACCAGGGCATAGAAACTCGTGTTACCGCGACCGTCGCCCGAAAATCAAAATATTTTGATATTTTGTGTTGGTTGCCGTGTCGGTTGCCTCGTGTGTGTCGTTGTGTATTGAGGTATTGAGTTTATTGGCTTAGTTCATTGAAAACAGTTGAGCTGAAAGCGTGTTTTGGTAGAAAACAAAATTTTATTCCGTATGTCCATTTCATAACAGAGCACTCGCTACTGAGGTTGCCGCAATGGTTGCCTCGTGTGTATTGAACAAGAGAAACAGATTGCCTCAACACGTTGCTTAAACGGTTGCCCCTAGTCCGCATTAGGAATCGATTCAGGCAACAAAAAATCGTTTTCGTTAAAAATTGTTTTTGGTCTTTTTATACCCGAGCGCACTTGTGCACAAGGGTATATTAATTTTGTTCACATAACGGTTGTTTGTAACAGCCAAAACGAATCGAGATAGATATAGACAAATGTATACATAAATGATCAGGATGAAAAAATAAATCGATTAAGCCATGTCTGTCTGTCCGTCCGTCTGTCCGTCTGTCCGTCTGTCCGTGTACACGATAACTCGAGCAAAAATTGAGATATCTCAACGAAATTTGGTACGTAGGTTTCCCTTAATCCAAGGTAGGTTGGTATTGAAAATGGGCGAAATCGGACTTTAACCACGCCCACTTCCCATATAACGGTAATTTCCAGAAATACGAAAACTGCGATATTTTAGTAACTACTGAAGATAATTTACTCAAAATTGATATTTACAATAATTTTTAGACGAAAAATAAGAATATTATAAATTTTTGGAAAATGGGCGTAGCCACGCCCACTTATGGTTACATGTGTATATCTTGGTAACCGCTGCACCAATTCCTTCCAAACTTAGCACAGCTGTTGGCCTTCGCACAACATATCAAATGGCCGAAAATTTTCAAAATCGCTCAATAACCACGCCTACTTCCCATATAACGGTAATTTTCAGAAATACGAAAACTGCGATATTTTAGTAACTACTGGAGATTATTCACTCAAAATTGATATTTATAATAAGTTTTAGATGAAAAATAAGAATATTATAAATTTTTGGAAAATGGGCGTAGCCACGCCCACTTATGGTTACATGTGTATATCTTGGTAACCGCTGCAGCAATTTCTTCCAAACTTGGCACAGTTGTTGGCCTTGGTACAGCATAAAAAATCGCAGAAACTTTTTAAAATCGGACAATAACCACGCCCACATCCCATATAACGGAGAGAAATACAAAATCTTCGATAAATCAGTAAATATTGAACGGTAAATTTCAGAAATGCTTGAAACTTCAATATTTCGAAATTGAAGGACGCTAATTTACTCAAAATTGATACACCCCGGCTTACCATCTAGCGCAAGGTTTCGGAAAGGTGAAAAAACATATATTTAATACTTGCGCCGGGTATTTAATGTTCGGCTCCGCCCGAACTTAGACTTTCTTACTTGTTCTAATTTAAATATAGTAAATAAATATTAAAATTTATTATTTAAATTTGTATGCTCACACATACTTACATATGTACACGTTTTCTTATTATATTCCAGACTGATTTATACGGGCAAAATATTTTAAATATTACCCATCCTGAAGATCACAGCATAATGAAACAACAATTAATACCTTCCAATGCCAATGAGCTTTTCGATACACAGGCCGATGATGAGTCTGGTGATGCACGACCTCGCACCAAAGAGGAGGAGGAGTACATCGATAAACGTTTGCGTGCGGACAAGCGAAGTTTCACTCTTAGGTTAATTGATAATGAAAATATCCACTTACACACGTGTATTTAAAATGGTAGTACGTCGTTTACAGATTGGCCCGGGCCGGTCCCCGTTCAGAACCAACTACATATGAAATTGTCAAGATAGAAGGAAATTTCAGACGCAGTGATGCGGCGCCGCGAGGCGTTAAAGTCAGCACATTTCCCTCCAATCTACCAATGATACGACGTTCCCGTGCTCGCGATGATACGATACCGTTGCACTCAATAAGTGGAAATGATATTGTAAGTTAATACATACATATGCACAATACATAAATGCTCAGCAAGAAAGCTAATGTTATCTCCATTAAGAAAACGAAACCCCTCTAAATTAATATTTTATTATTTTTATTGTCTGACACGAAAGGATATCAGATAGGCATGAAAGTGCTAGTCGCATAGTAAAAACTCTAAGGCTAGGTACATGACCTAGCGGATTCACGTCGCGCGATGCTAATAAAATCGCTACAAGCGATCAACTATACAAATTCATATGGCGGTGTTAATGATGATGCAGCGATTGATACTGAAATAAGAATTTGTGTAATTGATCGCTGGTAGTGATTATGATCGCATAGCGCGATGCTAGTTCGCTGAAAAATCGACTAGAAATTAGAGATGGGCACGGGACTAAATATTTAATCCCGATCCCGCCCTTCCCGAAATTGGATTTTTAAGTCCCGAACCCGCCCATCCCGACGTTTTTCAGAATTTTACCGCGGGTCCCGTGGGTCCCGATATCTATCTCTAAAGCAGGATACAAACGGATAACAAATTGAAACGAATTGTGTGTCTAGCGTGGTTCACAAACCGATCGAAGGTTCATGTCTTTTAAATTAATTTTAAATAATAATGAAAGATCTGACATCTTCCGATTATTTTGTTTTACTTTGCTGTTCGTTTTCGTCTCAATGAAATATTAAAAATGCATATTTCAAACGTAGTTTTTAATTATGATTTTGTGAATTTGCGGGGGTTGCGGTTTTATCGGGAGTTTCGGGAAAGGATTTTGGTCCCGTCCCGCCCGCCATATTTTTACATATCTTCCCGATACCGCCCATACAGGTCAATTTTAAATTAGTACCGAGGGTCGTGCGGGTCTGAGTTACACAAGGCGATTTCCTAAGCGTTTTAACATCGCCTGAAAAGTTGTAAGCGATTGTATCGCTTTCTAGAAAATTTAAACACAATCTACACAGGCGGTTTTGTTGAAATCGATGTTAAATCGCTTAGAAAATCGCCTTATTTAAATGCTGCTTAACCGCACATCTCCACAGGCAATCTGTTACATTATGTGAGGTTTCTTAATGGCGCTGGTCTACGTAAGAAATCGACAATCTAACGTCGGAAATCTTGACGTTCTATAAAAAGCTTGTTAACTCGAAATTCCTTATAGTCAGAAAAGACAAATAATTATTTTTGGGAACATGTTAATAATGTAGGGAAGGAAATCTTTTGTGGGGTTTGCAACGGATTGCAACGAAATATTTCGTCCGGAAGGTAAAAGACACATTTTGAACACACTACAGTATTATGTATAATAAATTTCGAAAGTTGCGCACAATTTCTTGAAAACATTGCAGGATCAGGTATTTTTTGATTAGAAATAGAAGGCGTATCAACTCAGTTCATTCGTAATCCCCGTATTTTAACTCTTTAGCCACCCCCAGCTAATTTTTTGTTTCAGACCTACATATAAAATGGAAGCGTCGAAACATAACGATCAATATGCATTAAAAAGTATTTGGAGCTACCGCCAATATGCGATATGCGTCCTGATTTGACTCCTAATGATTATTTATTTTTTATGAGAAGTTTTGTAATGATAGAAATAAGTGGCAAAATATTTTTTGGCTATACCGTACGGGCCTAATACATTCCATTCCAGTTGGGATCATTACGTCCCTAAAATGGCTTTTACACTGTGTCATCACATTTTCAAAAATTAACTCATATTTACATAGTTTCTACATATTTACTGTATGTACATATGTAGATATATGTATGTAACTTGTTTATACTACATAACTAAATTTGTGAATATAATTGTGACCATCGCTGTTACCCTTAGATATATGAAATAACCCTGCCCTAATTTTCCTTTAGGTGTTAATTGCAACGGCGCGTATAATTCGTCTACCCAAAGTAATAAACTGCGTCACGGCAGCCAACTCAATGGAGTACAAAACAAGACACTTAATTGATGGCAGTATTATTGACTGCGACCAAAGAATTGGACTTGTAGCCGGTTACATGACAGACGAAGTACGAGGCTTGAGTCCGTTCACCTTTATGCACCAGGATGATGTGCGATGGGTTATTGTAGCTCTGCGCCAAAGTAAGTACATCGCATACCCAAATACGAGCTATAAATACAGTAACTCACATTATTGATCACTTGGCAATTTTTTACAAACGGCCCTATGGAAAGGTGCTCCTCGCTAAAATACTGTAGTCAGCGTAGGCGACAACCATAATAGGGCCTAATATTTTTTATAATAAATTGTTTTCGTTATTTTTTTATAAAAATCTTTTTTATACCAATTTAGGCAAATTCAAAAAAATGTCATCTAAATTTCCAACTTTTTTACCATAATGTTTCGGCCTCTTTCCGGTGTGCAGTTTTATAGCCCATTTGATTGTATTACATATATTAGGTTTGTTCGTCGAGCAAAAAATTTGTACGAATTTGTACGAATTATCACGATTTTTGCCCAAATCGCGTTCGTGCAGACCAAAAAATTATCCAACACTCAAAAATTGTGAGAGCAAAGTGACAGTTCTCTTGGAGAGATGTTGCAAATTCTTGCTGGAAAAAATTTTGCCAGCAAGAATTTGCAAACACGAAAAACATGTGGTTGTGGCGCATGGTTGCATTTTTGTCTTCAATAATTTGAATAAATTAGTTCGTTAAATTTAAAAATTTATAAACACGAGCGATTTTTTTTATGAAAAACAAAAAGTAAATAATTGTTGATATAATTAATTTAGTTAATTCCAATGATTTGAACTTAATTCGGACGAAAAAAAAATGGTATTCGCTATCGGAATGCAATTGCAACCAGAGTCGATTTAAGAAACCCGACAGCTAGTACGATGAAGAAATTGAAATGTATGTTAAAGAAAGTCAGAACAACAAGAAATATACATGTATATCTTGGTTTTGGCCATCCGAAAGAATTTTAAAAATTCTATAAAAAAATGTTTATGTTTGAAATGCAACCGTGGACGCCAGCTGGCAGGGAAACTTGCAAATTCCTGCAAATTTGCGTTCGTGCAGAAATTTGCAAGTTTCTCAACATGAGAGAGAATTTGAGAAAATTTTTTCTTACTCTCTGATGTTTTGAGTGTTGGATAATTCTTGCTGGATTTTCGACGAACAAACCTATTAAAGTGTAAGTTGGAAGTAGCTAGGACTTAACGGTGATTTTTTTTATTAAATTTTGGTTCTGAAATTTTTTTTTTTCATATCACGCATAAGAGCAAAGCTCGCGCTGAAGCATTCATTTGCAAGTTACACTTTCGTATTTACAACCGGAAATAGCGTAGTTCGATACAGAGTATTCTTCTGCCCATACATATTTGTTTTTGGGGCGCCTAAAATACAGGTCGCGAACTACCGGTTGGACAGCACTGTGTTAGAGACTGCAATTGGTGCTACGGGGCGTATGCGTTACATACACAACTACGGGTATATGAGGCAGGCCACTTTTCTTCGCGCTATCCGAAGCGGCTTTAAAATTGACGAAAAGTAGGTGTCTCCCAATTGGCTTGTTGGAGGCTTCAGTTATTCCACAAATTATCATCGATATGACCTTATACGCAATGCTAAGAATGTTTATATCGCAGTAAGTGGCACAAGCAGCAAAGTACATAAGATTCCAGTCTTTGGAAACGAATTTATTAGATCAACAAGAATTCTTATAAAACCTATGCATTATATAAAGAAGTTAAAGGGACTAAAATTAAAAAAGAAAACACCAAAAATCAATGGCGCTACCAAGATTCTTCAAACTGGAAGTTTAGATTAAATTTTTTTTATTTGGAAATTTTGATTGTTATGGTATAAAATAGTTTTTACGAAAAGATATCGAAACCAATTTATTATGAGAAACATGGTAATTATTTTATAAAATCACCGTGTGATCAATTATGTGAGTTACTGTACACATGTGTGTATTGTTTTTTTAAAAAGCATATGCCAATTCATTCATACATATTCTTCTGTGTGGGTGCGTATTTGCAGTGTACGATTGCTATAGTTCATCTGGAGAGTCCACCTACAGACTCATAACCCGCAACGGTCACTTTATTTATCTGCGCTCAAAAGGCTACCTGGAAGTCCATAAAGAAACAAAAAAGGTGCATTCTTTCATTTGCATAAATACACTGCTCAGCGAAGAGGAGGGCAAACAGCGAATTCAAGAGATGAAAAATAAATTTTCTATGATTGTAAATACGAAAATTCCACAATCCTCCGTGGATGAGCCAGCCTCGAAGAATCCCCAACAACTGGAAAAAGCGGTTCTATGCCTTATACAAAACTTACAAAAATCGCCAATGGCAGAAGACGGAGAGGATGATGGCGACTCGTCCACAGAGAGTTATGGCAGCGAACATATGTCTCCAGAATTCGGTCCAACAACATCTGCGGCAGCAATGCATCATTATAACACCACCACCACCCCTCCAACACTATACTCATCGATACGTGCGGCAGCCTTTCATTTCGGAAGATCAGCGAAAACTCCACCGCTTGCGCTGGTGCCGCCCGAAGCTTCTTCCGTCAAAACATCCATATCGAAAGGTGCAGATGTAGTCAACGTAACTGTAGTTAAGCACTTGCAAAGCAATACACCATCACATTCGAAAGATACGGATGACTGTGAGGGTGGAACGCAATTTGATTTGCAAGCTGAGTCGGATGGAGCAGCACCACTTCGCGACAGCTGTTTATGTGCGGGTATGAAAGAAGAGTATTGTAACTATTGTCAAACACTGGAAAGTCAACTAGCAAGCTGCTCTTCACCTGCGCCTCCTGCGCCTACCACACACGCCACAGTCGTTGGCATTGCTGCAGACGTAGCTGGAAATAAGCGCAGTAGCGAACCGATATCCGGTCAAGAATTAAGGCTACCCAAAAAGCGTTTAAAGAGCACAGGTACTAAATAGGTTTTTGTCATTATTATTTTGCTTTTATTCAATTCGAGTGATTTACGTACAGAAATCGAGCATGTGCTTTCAAGCTCATTGGACCAATTAGGTAGAACGCTGGATGAACAACTGAATGCAGCAATTGAGCTAAGGGACGCGAGTAATAAGTACGAGATGCCTAATTCCACTCGAAGGATTGACGAAATAATGGTATGGTGGATGATGTGTTCTTTTGTTTTTGCATATTTTACTACTAATTATTTACGTTTTTAAATTTTAAGGAGGAACACCAAATGCAAAGTAAAATCTACGTAGACATCAAAAGTGAATACGAGGTTCAAAAACAAAATACGAGGGAAAGCATGCTAGCCACGACACTAACAGCATTAACGCCGCTAGCGTCACTTTCAAGTAATCAACAACAAATGCCATTGCAACAACATAGTGACGATGATAATGATGAGCAGACGGGGGAAAACTAAATTTTGTTGCCTACAAAATGATGGTGATGTTTATTCCGTTGTAGCCAATGATGGGTCGAGATGTAACTGCATCGAATTTTTCATTTGAGGTTTCACACTTTTATGGCACATATATGTAGATAACACAGGTTACAGAACGAAAGATCATCAATTCAAGGAATACAAAAAATACTTATGACAAATGACGCCTCTACAAGAAGCGAAACGGAAATGATATTCTCCACACAAATCTATCAAGATGGTCGGCACTTGGTTGCCAACTACCTCATTTTTTATGAAAATATCTCTAAAAATATGTAGTTTTTATTTTTTAATGGAAAAGAAAAGCAGTTGTACATTTGTATGCATGCACTGCATACATACATACATTGTAGATGTGTGAAATGCATACATACGTACCATACAATGTGAGGGTGCCATATCAATTACGCTTTTGGCAGTGTCTCACCATAGCGTATGAGTGATTTTTAAATTGCACATGCATATTAAGTACATAGTTATGTATGTGCATAAAGTGTGTATCATACTTCCGCTTGTACTTTTTTCAAGTAGCTTAAAAACGTAAATGAATCGGCTTGTGCAGTACACTGGTGCATACTATAGTCACTTATGAGTGTCAATCCATATTAAATCGGCCAATATTTGGAATCGACTATTCTTGATTTTTATGGATTTTGGTTAGAACTTTTCGTTTATCATATAAAAAAAAAAGTTCTGCCACAAGAAAAAATAGAAATTTTTTTAGCGAGTTAAAAATTTCCCGGATCTGCAAGTTAATTTTTTTTGGTCTCAAAAACTATTATAGTTCAACAATTTTTTGCTGGTCTCGTTTTATTTTGATATTCGGGGCTATATATAAAATAATTATCAAAAAAATCTAAAAATACAAATCCAATTTAAGAAAACGTAAAAACAACTTTGTTTTTAAAGCACCTTTAACTGATCTGAAAAGATGCTGCAATTTCATCAAGGTATTTTTACACCGATATGAACTTTCGAGCTTTAACAAAAATATTTTTTACAGAATCTTAATTAAAAAAAATAAAAAAGAAACTGATAAAAATGGCTTGACGTTTTTATAACCATAATAGTTTTTGAGATATATAGTCAAAAAATAAACTTGCAAACTCTCGGAAATACTGAAATTGTCAAAAATTACCGATTCCAACCATTGGTCGATTTGACATGGATTAGCCCATATATATATATATGTACATATGCAACTGCATTTACGCAAATTGAAAATAATCTATAGTCTATCTATCTGTATATGTATGTATGTTAAAGCAAAATACATATACATATGTATGTATGTGTATTTATTTTAAAATTTACACCCTACTTAAGGGCCGTTTTCACCACGTCTAGTTAACAACACTACCTGGAGGTAAATTCTTCAGTTGAGCACATCGACTGCTTTGTCGATCACATGCTATATGTATGCTGGGTGTCGATAACGTTGATAACGATGTTTAACTGTGAGTTAGAATTGACCAGACATGGGTAAACGGCCCTAAAAGAGAGTAAAGGCCAGTTTCTCAATGTCTGGTTAACACTAAGTACATGTTACACATCTTTACCGATGTTATCGACTACCTGTTATATATTATGGTGTCGATCATGTCGATAACGATGTCTAACCTGCACTTAGTTAACCAGACATGAGAAACTGGCCCTAAATTGCAAATGCTTAATTATGTACGTAAGTATATAAGGACTTATGTATTGTATTGTATGTACGCACATGTATGTATGTATGTAATTAAAAATATTTCTCTTGATATTTAAACTGTATGTACATATGTATGTAAGGGTGGCCATGCATAAATGTTGCAACTACTATATATCTTTGTGAATGCGAGAGCATAAAAAACTTACTTAAATGATTAAGGAATAATTCGATTTTATAGTCGTACATACAGGTTTTCATATACATGTATGTAAATATGTTCACCTGCCCGTGTATTTAAATAAATACTTACATACATATATAACTTTTGTAAGAGCGTTACACTCGCTTCTATTACATGTACATATGTACGTATGTATATATGTACGTACATACATACATATATTATGTATGAGGTTTTCATAATACTTACATAAATATATATATAAAAAATTGTTAAATAGTAGAAATAAGTACATATTTACTTTAAGTAAAAATAAAATAGTAATAACAACGAAAATGTTGTAGGTATTTATTAGCGTAATACATAGTAAAACGAAACAAAGACTGTTCAAATTACAATTAAATTAGTTAGTTAGGGACTATTGTTGTATATAATAAGTAAATTGTTGTGAGAGTGAGAGTAAATAATTTAATTACAAATGTGTAAGTTTATTTCTGTGCTAAGACTTAAAAATGATAATGTGTAATCATGCGTACGTACACATATTTGTAAATTTATATTGTACATTTGTGTGTGTGTGTGTATATGTCCAGCGCTAATGTTGAAGAAAAAATTGCAAAACGGGGGTGCGGATGCGGAATCATAGCGCAAAAAAAATTTGTATATTTTTTACATCAATCCACGTAAAATCGACTAATGGTTGGAAGAGACAATTTTTGATTTGGATAAATTTTGGTCAGACCTTTTCTTTTGCCATATAACGAAGATCTGCCAAAGGAAAAAAAAATGTTTCGAAGGTTATTAAATATGCACAAACAAAATTCTAAATTTCATAATTTCCGAGATTTCGCAAGATTTTGTTTTTAATATCTCGAAAATTGTTATGGTTACAACAGTTTATATATTTAGGCCTATAAAGAAAAAATATGTATGTATGTATACAAACAAATATACAGCATTTTGAAATAAAAAAAAAATCCTTAAACCAAAAACTTACAAAAAATCCTTCAACTGATCTTAAATGATCCTGAAATTTTCAAGGCGTTTTTAAACTTGAAGTTTGATTTTTTTTTACTATTTTAATAAAGTTATCTTAAACATTTTTATATAATTTTAATTTGTTTTTAATTTAGTTTGCAATAAATATTTATTCCACGTTCAAAAATTAATATCTTTAAAAAAAACGCATTTTTGAAAATTTCATGCTCTTTAAGATCAGTTAGAGAGGTGTTGTATAAAAAAGTAAGCCAAAAATTTGTACAAGATTTTGCGTTTATGTTTTATTTAATTTAAAAATTCTGTAATTCGTTTTATTTTTCGCATTTTGTAAATATAGTTTTTATTCATTTTTATAGCTACAATAGTTTTTAAAATATATTGAAAAAACAAACTTCCAAAATTTTAGAAATTGTGAAATTTGGAACTTTCGAATTTTTTTTTTGTTATTGCTTTGGCAAAAATTTATATGATAAAATAAAAGTCCTGACCAAAATTCATCTAGACCAAAGGGGGTCAACTCCAACCATTGGTCGATTTGATATGGATTTACCCAATGTAGATTCGTATATATAAATACATAGGTATGTGCTTATACCTCTATGCATAAGTAAGTACACATACATACATATACATAAATATGTATGTGAATATGTGAGGAGTAAGTATGTAGCTTGAGAAGCTTAACTTATCGAATGTTGAATGTTGAATATTGAATGTCTTGCATTTGTTTTAAATTTAGAAAGTGCAACTGTAAACTATTTGTTACTATTTACACCACCCGCATGCACCTAGGAGTATCTTACTATGTACTATTTACTGTAGATTAGCAAAAATAACAGAAAAAAAATTGTTTAAAATAAATTTTAATTCAATGAAATGAACCACAGTGTACAACTATTAAAATAAATACATACATACATACATATGTATGTGAGTGTGGTAAATGGTATGTATGTTAACAGGCGCATCTGTATGTATTTATGGAATTAAAATAGTGTGGTAGTAACTACAGTAAGTATACCCTGCATGGAAAATCCTAACAAGTGAAACAAATTTCAGGTTCAGGACTAGTTCTTTATCACCGAAAACGAACCACTCCGATGGTAATTAGATTCTTGCCAGTTAAAAAGCAAACGAATTGTGGTATTTTTTACATAACTTGTTTAGTCTACTTTCTAAAACTGCATATCGCTAGCTAAGAGTAAAAAGTTGCTAAGTCCACTTTTTCTGAAAAATTATATTTTGTTGCAGGAAGCAGGACCAATTAAAAATAATTCGTTTCTTAAAATATCGGACTACCTAAGTACAAATCGCTAGCTTAGAGTGAAAAGTTGCCAAGTCCCAATTTAAAAATTGTATGGGACACAGTGTTCGGAGAAGCAAAAAATTAGAAGGGCTGTTACGATTATAATAAAAATGCATCATCGTAGTATTTTTGTTATGCTAAATCTGAATGTGCCATAAAATTTTTAGTTTGACAGTTGACAGCTGTCAAATCAACTGCTAATTTCTCTAAAAATAAGAAAACCTCTTTGAAAATACCACTTATTAGGATTTTAGGTACGAATTTTATGTCAAAATAAAATTTTGACAGTCGACAGCTGTCAAACGGACTGCCAATTTCCTTAAAAAATCAGAGAATCTTTTTGAAAACGTTACTGATAAGGTTTTTAAACATGCTCATCACGAATTTTACATCAAATTAAAGCTTTGAGAGTTGTCAGCTGTCAAATTGACTGTTAATTTTTCTGATAATAAGAATATGTTTTTTTAAATGCTACTGATAAGGTTTTTAGACACGCTAGTCACGAATTTTGCGTGAAATTAAAACTTTGAGATTTGACAGCTGTCGAATGAGCTGTCAATTTCTCTAAAAGTAAGGAGAATTTCTCAAGAAGTAAACGTACTACGTTTTAAGGCTCACTGATCTCGAGTTCTATATTACATTCAAACTTTTCCAGTTGAAATCTGTCAAATCAACTGTAATTTTTAGTTGAGTAACACAATATATTTGTTAAGCAAAATTATTGATTTATTATATTTGATCGAACATATTTAAAATAAATTTATGATCAAATTATGAATTAATAATATATTATAATGCTATATGTTCAGCCCAAACAATTTTTTAAGATTTTTTATATCAAATTGGTGATTTCCGAAACTAAAGTTTTCTCATTCAGGTTTGAATTTTTGTAAATGAGACAACAACCAGCAAAACTGTTAGTTTTTTACCAGCTAGTCTTAAAAAAACGCGAGTTTAATTGAATTTTCCATAGTTTAAACTTTTATATTTCAATTCCCAAAATTTTCGCGCTTTTTTTTGTATTGAGCTGATTTTTTTTTTGCTAAGTTTAAAGTAGTACAGCCGTTATTAGAGTACAACTCCACAATAATCTTTTTTTCGCATTTCAGGCTTTCAACTATACAAGTCAGCTATTGCTGAAAGCCTGAAAAGCGCGGAACGCCTGAAAAGCTTGTTTTGGAGTTGCACTATTAGACTTAAGAGAATGTATGGAATTCTTCATCTTTAATAAGAAATAGCCTTTTCTACCCTTTTTCAAAATCAATTTAAGGGAAACTTTACTTTACGGCAAATCGTTGTGTGCGTGGTGAGCGGAAGGGAGGGAGCGTGGCACCTCCCACACCCCATTTTAGAGAGGGCATGAACTGCCGTTTTCAAAAATTTAACTCCCAACTGCCGAGGCGCCATACAGGTCCATTGGGAGTTCTTACAAAAATGGGCAAAAATTAAAATTTTTACCTGCGTTTCTGCTTGTTTTGAGTAGATGAAGGCAATAACTTGAGCCTTTCCGTATCGCCGGACAAGAGTAGGGCCGCCAAATGTATTTAATATTTCTTGTGCATAAAAGTGAGGACCCCAGGCTCTATCTAGGGGCTTCCATTGAAAAAGTTCTTTCTTCGTAGGCGGCCTCTGGTCGAGCTTAAGGATTATAACCCTTACTAAAAAGAATTCTCCTTTCTGTGTTGTCGAAGGAATCGGGCGTAACACCTTTTTCACAGAACACCTTTCTTTTGTCAAGTATGATCCTCTGGCAACATGTACACGTGGTAAATAAACACGTAATAAGTAGCTTTGTAACCAGCAATTGATGGTATTTCAACATAGAATTAGTTAATGTTAAATTTATAAATGTACTTTTAAACAAAAGTGTATTCTTTTAGCAACGCGTGCATGTGATAAACATTAATTTCGGCCCGCCCATTCCGACGTAATATATGATATACGTATATATAGCCGTCAATTTAGATGGAGTTTAATCACCTAGTCACATTTTGTGTGAAGTTCTTTTGGTAGGAATGTTTTTCACCTCACACCCTTTTCTTAAAAATAGGAAAAAGAACTAGAATTTTTTTATTGTGTACTTTATAATTCCTATCGATTATAAGGTCGATAATTTATTTATACTCATCTTTAGGGCGCTGTGTTGACATTTTGCACATTTTTGTAAATTTTGTGTTTATTTACTTATATTTGGTGTATTATTGCATTAAATAAAAGCTGATAGATTTAACTAGAGTTTATTTATGGATATAGTTCCGATCTGTCGAGTATGCCTCAAAACTTCATTATCCTATATAGATCTGGAGACTCCTTTCGAGCAAAGCAATCCTGAGAGCTTCCACTTGGAGACTCATCAATCAAGCATGTTTACTACATATATGGATTGCTTCCGAACTTGTACGCAATTAGCAGCAGCTGATCGAGAGGAGGAAATGCCTCAAAGTATTTGTGAACAATGCGGGTTTGAATTAGAAGTTGCCTGGAACTTCATTAAGAAATCTGTATATGCAGATACCATTTTAAAAGGCAGCCTAGAAAGCAAAGAAAATGTAAGCATTGTGCTTCTTGGTGATTTTGAAGAATATGAAACAGAATTCGAAGTAGCAGATGAGGAAGTATTGTCATCAGTCAGCGATGATGTAAGAAGTTGCTGAATTTTTAAGTATAAAAGCTGTAATAAAACTTAAAACAGTTTCCTGGATAACCAAAAACATTAATTGCTTTTACAGAAAAATGTCGTAACAACTTTAAAAGAGGAGGAAGATGGAAATGACAATATAACCACGCAAGAAACGGAAAACCAAGGTAATGTGCAATGAAATGATTATATTAAGAACTTTCATATCAAGTTTTATGTATTGCATTAGCGTTGATGGTGCTTTGTTTACATTGTGGCTCTTATTTTAACCCGAAATTTGAGCATAGCCATAATACAAGCTCTCCTATTTTATCAATAAAACTAATCGAAGAGGACTCTTTGAATAGAAACTTGAATATCGATTATTCAGAAAATAATGAAAAGGATAATGAGTCTCTGAATGAAACGATAACAAATGAATCTGCACCATTAATAGAAGCCGAAAAGCATTCCATCTTGGAGTTAATGGACGTTGGCATAGATGGTGGAAATATAACCCATGAGAGTTTCGAAGAGGATGATGTTAATACAGAGAAAATCATCATCGATGATAATGAAATCGGTAAAAACAAAAACATTCAATACGCACTTTATGTTCAAACAAAGCTAATACTTATCTTCTCATAGATTTGAACTCTGCCTTCTACTGTTCAACTTGCCTTCAATCATTTGAAACTCGTCGAAAGCTATTGCTTCATTCTCGAACTCATAAAGCCTTTGATGGAAAAGCTTCTATTTGCAAAATTTGCCATCAAAAAGTAACTAAAGGAGAAACAATACGTCAACACATAAAAAACAATCATTCAAAGATTATACAGTGCAGTGAATGTGAATATCGATGTCAGGAAGTTAAAATGGAAGACCATGTGCGTCGAACTCACGACAATTCGATTACCTTTCCTTGTAACTTTTGCGGTCAGTTAGAATCTATTATGAACATGATTGATTTAAACAAAGATGATTTTTGCATTCTTCTTAGATAAAACGTTCTTCTCTCAGACCTTATTAAATACGCATCATAAGTACCACCAACGCAAAGAAGTTAGTGTCAAATCTGATGCCTGTCAAATATGTGGTAAGCGATTTTCCACACAACACTACCTGCGCTTGCATTGTGAAGTACATCGTAACGAGCGACAACTTCACCAATGTGACTATTGCGATAAAGTTTATGTCAGTAAAGTAGCTCTGGAAAATCACATCCGCCTTCATAAAGGCGATACAATAAATTGTGATCAATGCGGTGTGTATTAATTTCGAAGTAGATATTGCACATTAAAAACAATACGAAAAATTTCAGGGAAGCAATTTGTACGCCAATATGAATTAAATGTACACATGCGATTCCATACTCGGGATTATCCGTTTGAATGTGAAGTGTGCGGAAAAAAATTCGCTATAAAAGGGCACCTGCGCACACACATGTGGAGACACCAAGGATTGAAGCTACAATGTGAAGAATGTGGAAAGCTATTCACTTCAACAAAAGCATTGCAAGAACATTCTTTTGTACACAGCGAAATGCCTTTTCCGTGCAGTTATTGTGGCCGGGGATATCCCTCCAAGCAAAAGTATCCCAAATTCTGCTTTTGGAATATTGAGTTTATTAATTGTAAATAATTTATATGTTCACAGATTTAAAGTACACCTTAAATCGACGCATCTTATTGATCTAACAGAAGAGGAACTCCTTAAAGTTACAAAATTACAAACACCGAAACCTTTACATAGAAAAAAAACTTACTTTAGTACAAGCGGACAGTGTTATGAAAGAGATTGAAGTAAAGGATAGTGGTGGAGATGTGGCAAACGACATAGAGGAAATGTTGGTTAAACTTAATTGATACTTATGTTTGAGAATAAATAAATGTAATTGAAATCTAAACTTATTATAATGTTTTTTATGATTATATCTTATCTTATTATTAATGATTATATCTCTGTTACACGTCCCCGGTAAATGCTTTTTGTTTTTACTTTTACAATAAGCTGATCGATTTCCTCGACATCCGTCACTTTATGAACACCGCCGATATGGCGTCGCATCCTAAAAGTAATATGGCGAAACTTATCAAATAGAATATACATTGATACATGTTTATTCCAAACGTACTTTGATTTTTTTACAAATCCCTTGTCGCATATAGAGCATCGCAACGGTAAGCCTGTGTGCTCTTTACGATGCTGTAGCATTGTTGATTGATGAGCGTACTCTTTTCCACACAAGTTGCATTTATAACGATGACCTTCATGATGCCGGACGTGCTTATTCAAAACATGAACATACTTGAAACATTTATTGCATTTCGGACACTTGTATGGTAGTTCGCCAGAATGACTTCTTAGATGGATTTCAAGATCAACAGGCCGCGGATACTGCTTTGAACAAACTTTACATTTCAACGAAAGCCCAGTATGGCATTGTCTATGAAGCTTTAGACCGCCTTTGTAAAAGAAAGATTTTTCGCACTGGTCACATTTGAATTGGGGTTTCCGGTTTTCTTCATGAGTTTTAATATGGGTTTTGTATGCATTTTGAGTAAAAAATTTTCGCTGGCACTCGTTGCAACTTATAGACCTCTTTCTATTCGCCTGATGGGTCTGTTCGTGCCTCTTCATTCCAACTGCATCTTCAAAGGTAGACGCTGAACAACAAAGAAAACCGTATTTTTTTCACAAAACAATTACTTAAAAAAAGTGCGGAACACATCATTGAAACTTGAATAAATGTTATGCGTTAACATTTTCTTGTGCATTCACCACTTTTTCAAATCCAATATTATTCAAAACCAAACTAATCGGAGCTTTACCGAAATCTATAAGTAGTCCGTAAAGTACAAGCTCAAGGGCTTTAAAATAAATATATTTATTTATGGGCAGGAATTATTTATGCACAGTTTTTTTTTTATATGCAGAAACTATAAAATTGCAGAATTTATTATTTAAATTCTTTAGATCGCGCCTTTGGTTAACTAGAAACAATTTTGAAATTTCATAAAAAAAATATCCCTATAACGAAAGTACATAACTTTGTTTATCTAGCTAATGAAATGTATGTAGTTGTTGAGTAAAAGTGTTCGATTCTTTACCGATTTAGGAAAAATACGATAAATATATGATTATTTTAATACAAACTTACGGCATGCGTAACAAAGCATTATTTGTTCATTTTTTGGGGTGAAACCGAGATATATGTCGTTTGTATTGATTTCCCTTTAATGGTTTACTGCAGTATTCGCAAATAATCATAGAAGATGCTCCACATGCGTTGGTAGCACTTTGCTTACCTATTTCTGGAGCCATTCGTGATAATTCCTTTTCCGGATCATCGATGCTGTTGGGTTTATATTTGAGGCGTTCCTCTAAACATACATTCTTCTTGGAATTCTTTAAATGCCATAATTCTGTTTCTTCCATTTCCGTGAGTAAATAATTCTCCGAGTTGTTGTTGTTTGTGGACTGCCGATTTTCGGGGGAACTATTCAAAGTGTCTAAATCGTGAGCTTCTCTTTGTTCTTCAATTAAGTATTCAATAGCTAAATGCTTTCAATGCAGACAAATTTTTTTTTTTTCAAGATTAAAAATGTATTACATATTTCACATGCATACACACATATGTTCATATATATATATATATACCTCTTCATGTGATACTTGCTCAGATTCGCAACAATTGGAATCATCGTACTCTTGCATATTTATCCACTCGAAACGTTCTGATTGATGCTTACATCCAGTGTCATATCTACATAGCTCCTGATCAGACTTTTGTGCTTTTCTTATGAATCTGAATGCATTTATTAGCTCATGTACACAGTCCTTGCATAAGTAATGCATCTTCATTTGGGATTTTGGTGACGTCTTATTTACATCCAGTTGTGTACATAATTGAAAGCATTCCATTAACGTTAGTGGTTCATTGATGTCGTCCATCGGCATATACCAATCATAAAGCTCTTTAAACTGCTTTTTACATAAACACGCCCGACATATATTTGCCATAGCCAAACTCATTGCAGTTTTATAAACAAATTAAGATGAGATAATCCGATAACCCTTAGATACGGGAATCGATTTTTCTGTTGCAACTACCAATAATTACGAATCGATTTCTAATTTTAAGTGATGAAAAATGCTGAATTAGGTTTGTTCCACAAGCTAACCGAAGAAAACTCGGACTAGAAAAATTGGTGTAGTTTTGTGTAAAATTCGGCAAACATTTGTTTATCGCAGTACCTATATTCTCCAAAAAAATTGTCCGAGTAATGTTTGTGTTGAAAATAATTAAATGCAAATTTTGTAAATTTTTTATTTGCTGAGAGTTTTGTGCAATTTTCCTTGTTTTCGTACGATTCGAAAATTGGAAAACAATAAACCTCGGCCATTGCTTATTTTTTTTTTTATAAAAAATCAGAGATATTATTTTTATCGATTGGTATATTACAAACCGTAGTCCGGTTGCTTAATGTAATTAATGTAATTTTATTGGTTTTTTCAATAAATACAGCTATTTTGTATTAAAATTTAAAGATACCATCACGCTTGTTCTGCCAGTCGGACGATTTTAAAAATCTTTTTCGAGGATTTCTTAACAAAAAGTCAAAAATATTCCCACTAATTTGATGGATATGACGTAAATGATGTGTTTTTAAGAGCTTCAATTTAAAATATTTATTACGTTCGTTACAAATGTATTTTGCAAATCGCACCAATTGCTTTAAGGGCTTCGTCACACGGTCCGTATTTATTGACGTTATCCAAGTATCGCGCTATTTATTGACGGTGTAGCATGCAGTATTCATGGTTCGTGATCTATATCGCAAAATTTCTAAACATTTTGTAATCTGGATCGCGGATCGCAATACCGTCAACAAATATAGAACGTGTAGCACTTTCAAAACGCGATCCATACATTTCGTCAGTGCATCTTTTACTCTCATAATGCGAACATCGAGAACGTAATCGCTCTGCCTTCGCTCTCGGTGCTTAAAACCTTTCAAAAGAAATTCAAAAAATTTTAATTAACATTGGAAATTTTAAAATATATTTGGTTCATACCCCTCCATTTTTTTGTGTTCACACGAAGATTGATTACTATTTCACTTCCTTAATTTGATGACAAAATATGTAGAATACGAACTTGCATAGCCAAGTATGACTGCACTTTAAACATCTCGTTTACACACCACAAACATGTGTACATCCCTTATTTATGTGTGGTTGTTAAAAATATTACCCAAGAATTTTCAATGCGTCAAATAATTTTAATTCCTAATTCATTACTGCAAGCTCTCCCGCTTTCTCAGTAGAATGTTGGGTTACATTTCCATTCTTCCTTTTCCCTTTGAGCGATACAACGAAGTTTTCTATTTCGGGCAAATTAATCTTGTGCACGTTCTTAATATGTCGGCGTACTCTATTTTTTTTAAAGATGAAAATATGCATTTTTATCTTAAAGGTAAATTACTTTATAGGCTTACTTGTACATTTCGGGGAATTCTTTTTCACAAATTGAACATCTTAACGGCAACCCTGTATGTTCTAGACGGTGTCTTTGTAGTGTCCATTCATATGAATATTCCTTCCCGCAGTCCTCACACTTCCACTGTAGTCCCTCATGTAATTGTGAATGCTTTCGCAGTGTGGACATTTTTGTAAAGGCTTTTTCGCATTTATCGCATTTAAATGGCGTATCACCCGTGTGGCTTCGTAAATGCACTTCAAGATCAATAGAACGAACGTAACGCTTCTGACAATACTTGCACTGTATCGTTTGGCCTGCATGTTTCTGTTGGTGTACAAACAGATTACCTTTAAACAAAAACGATTGCCCACAATCGTTGCAATGAAATAACGGTTTTCGACTAGGGTCGTGCGTCTTCAAATGATTTTTGCGTGCCGTTTGCGTAAAGAATTTCTTACCGCACTCCCCACAAGCAAATTTTCGCTCTCTATTACTTTCGTGTATATGTTCATGTTGAATCAAAGTGCTGCGATGTCTGAAGGTTCGAGCTAAGTAAATACTTTTAAGTTGCTTGTTGCAAGATATTGTAAAAAATACCCACTAAGGTTATTAACAAATGTACTTACGACATGATTTGCAGAGAAAAACTTCAATACTTCGTGTACAAGAATGTCGCAAAAGTTTAGTTTTTCTTACTGTTTTTCCGCAAATATTGCAAAACACGAGTTCTTTAACTTTTTTTGTTTTGGAATCATTTATTTTTGCTTTCCGTTGGATCTTGAAATCAGCCT